TTTGTACCTGTATTAGGTGACTGCATGATTAGTGTACTGAACGGATATATATACTGTATGTAGTATGACCCCAGTCTGAACTTCCTCAAGTTGGCCAGCAGAGGGAACCTGTGCCTCATTCACGAACAAGTAACGCACCAAAAATTGAGCAAAGCTGACCATGAGCAAAACTGTGCGCAATAACGTTGAAATTGTTCAAATTAAAAAATAAATACATAAATAAATAAACATGAAAAATAAACCATATTCATATACAACAATAATATATAATAACATGATATAGCAACATACATAATAAACTAATGACTGTAAATATCTTTTATATTTGTATCATATTATTTATTTTTGAATACTTTACTGTTCTATTTATATTTTAGAATTTCAAAATGGAAACAATTTGTAAATTTGTATTTTGAAAGCAATTTTGAAAGCACTTTGTAAAGTATTAACCATAATTTGGGCTTGGAGAAGTAATGATTATCTCTCAAAAATGTAAACATTTCATAATGTTTAACATTATGAAAAAAAAAAACAGTTACAGAGAAACTGGATCCAATGGATGCATTTGAACTGTCAAGTTTTGCATATGAATCATAAAAAAACATCAAATAACCAGGGAAGAAGTTTATTGAACTGTTGTCATGTTGTATAAATGATCCTGTATGAGTGTGACATCCTGACAGCGTTATTTCTAGGAAAGAATCAGTTCTGGGCACACTGTGCATGACTGCTCACTGTACTTGCTACTTTGAGCATAATTAAAATGTGAAACAAAAACACACGCAAATGAAATAAAAGAAAAAAAGAAAATAGTTTTATAACATCAGGAATATGATTAAACTGCTGTGCACAGCACATACGTAGAAAAGTAAAGGGGGGAAAACATTTTTTCTCAAATATATCTATTTATACATAGCATCAGCGCTCGAACTCAGAAACTCATGATTATGTCCTCAGTTTCCTACTTTCAAAAAATCATTGCAAGAAATTATAACTAAGGCAGGGATGAGCGATGTCTTTATAAAGAGTAGCGGACAGAAACACACTTTTAAACAGAGAACTTTTTGTAACAGGATCAGCCACACAAAGCCATTTCAAAACAAAGACAGTGCAAAGCAATGAACTGGCATCCCGATCTAATGCCTCTGGTGCTCCAAAGATTCCAGAACTCCTCCCTGCATATGTGAGGAGGATTCAGCCGGTGACAGCCTGCAGTCATTCATGCACATACGTTTTTCTCATGAGTCCAGAGTGTACCAGGAAACTGGTGTCTATATTCTATGCCCAATAAACATTTTTACAGCTGTTGCTATAAATCCAAGCGACATACATCAGCATATCAGATGGCTCCGATTACCAAATGTTCATGCATATCGTTCATTCTTCACAGACTTAAGATGGTATTGTCACAATCAGGACACAAATGAAAGAAACAGCAACATTTGGCTCCCTGATTTAACTCTTCAATTCCTAATGCATCATTATAACACATTCAGAAGACATACTGTATTAAAATAGTACATTTATATAAGTTGACTTGCGGCATTTTAGTACCAGTTTGCCAAAACCATTACTCTTGAGTTGCTTTATTTATAATAAGTTTTAATGAAGTTGAACTTTTCTGTGAAACCAAAGCCAAAATGTTAGATGATGGTAAAAGTTGTGACCGTAGATGGCTGTTAAATAGCTACATTTCTGTCCTATACATGTGTTTTATTGTTTTTCGTAAGTGTGCGAGTCTCACTGGGACTCACAGTGATATGAATTCTGAGGCACATCAGCTAAATACAGTCCTCAGTGGCACATTATTGACAAGAAACGTGCTAATGTACAAGTAATGACTGAATGCCCTTATATACTGAAACATCTCTTCACAGATGAGACCACAAAACAAGCAGCTTGAAATGATCGGCTTTTTTTGCCTCCCTAAAGTATTGCGTCAGTCCTGCAGAGGTCTGTCCTGATATATTCACTGCGTTAGAGGAAGAAGCCAGTCCCACAAAAACCTTCCTTTTCATATAGTAGCAAACAAGTGAGAATAACCCAGTAGGGTCATAGCACTACTGGATTCGCCCAACACAACTCTCACTGCAATTCAAACTGTTTTACTTTGGCGAATTGGTGGCTAATTCGTATTGGTACATTTTTGTACGACCTGTGGGTTAGGTTTAGGAGTGAAACGTCATGCTTACTATTTTCTGAAAATTGTACAAATCACATTAATATGAAATCGCTACCGTGTAAAAAAAGAAAGTTTTCTCATGAGATCAAGTTGAATTTGTTTGGATTCATGGTGACCTGAAAAGTCTGGCCTCAGATTCTTAAAGTTAACATGAAACAGTAACCAATTTACTTCTCTAATGCGATTTTTGCCATCAGAAATGATTTAAATCTTGGAACAGTGGCCGTTTACAATTTTGCTAAAATATTACAGAGGCAAACATTTTTTCTTTGGAATAATGTGGATCAATAAATCTCAATAAGACCAGGAACCGACGCGAAGAAAGCAAATAGGGATGATTTTGATTTCATGCTGACTAAACTGTAGCAAAATTTAGGGAAAAAAGATCCATTTCGTGTAGAGATGTATGAAGCACAGCTCACACAGAAATCACTTTAAAACCAAGCAACTTTCTGTTGTTCAGCGCAAATCCGCATGACCAAATCTGTGTAGGGAATCGACTGCATTGAATTCACAGAGCAATTGAAAAGAGCAATGGTAAATTCAGTTAAGAACAACCTTAACTGAATGCAGCATGGATCCAAACACATGATAATGAGACCACAACGAAACCTTGGACGGACGTTTTCGACCAGTTCGACTGCATGGCTACGACCTTGGACTAAAGTTGGATGGAAAACCATAAAGAACCCCAGTGCTACTACTGGAATCTCAAGGCTTCTGTGCACAGTGGCTTTTACAAGACTACCCATGTTGCGAGGGAGACGTCACCAGCATGGCCTCTGCTCCACATACTTCAAACAGACTGAACAAACAACCAGGCCATAAGTCTTTCTAAAATAACGTCATTCCTTTCGATTCCTTTCTCTTTAACCCTCATGCTGTGACCCGGAGAGATTTACTATTTCTCAAAACTGCTAGTTAATGTTATCGCATTGGACTAAAACTTACCGAAGTTGCTCACAAAGGGTATAGCAACTTCCCAAACTTCCCATTTTTGTACTTTTTGGGAGGTTTTTCCACCTTGCTCCACCTCTAAAATGAACAATACAAAACAATTGTTAACAAGTTTCTCATTATGCTATTTTATTGCCAAATACTGGATTCAATCTTTTCTTTGAATTAACATGAGTTTTGTTTTTGTTTTTGGAACTGATTGATCAAGGGTGTCATTGATCAGAGTTCACGCACCTCAGTTTTTGAGTGACCAATGCCAAAATGATCCACAAATATAGTTTTTTCACTCAAAAACCGAGGTCCATAAGCTCAGATCAATGAGGCCTGCAACTAGTCCAGAAATAAATAAAAACCTGTGCTAATTGAAAGAAAACAAGTTGACAAAAAGATTAAATCCAAGATTTGGTGACAATATAGTATTAACAAGAGATTTACAAGCAATTTTCAAAAGGCCAGTCATTTTTGACCAGAAACACCAAATTAGGTAAAGGTTTTCAGAACAGCACAAGGGTTAAATTAAATAAACGGTGGGGTGACGTTTGGTGACAGAAACTGATGTAAACAAAAGCAGACATACCAAAATCATATACAACAGTGAGCGTCCCTCAGTTCGGATGCCACACGGTGTCTGCCCTGTAATTACATTTGCATAGAGCAGCAGTCGCGAGTGCCACTGCAGTGCTTCTGCAGCAACAGGAAAGAGCCAGACTCGACTGCCCCATCGACCAGGATACACATACACACACGCAAGCATCCACATGGACAGGTGCACACACACATATACTCACACCAGAAGCAAAAATAAATAAACATATACTGCACATATTCCCTTGAATCAGATACCATCATGGATGGCAGTGTGCCTTTAGCAACAAGCGACAAAGCTCCAGGCTACTGGCGTTTTCAGTGCACAGTCAGTATTTACAGTATTTTCATTGGTTTATTGACTTTCTCATTCACAGCAACGCTTAAAGCTTATTTTCAAGTGCTCCTTTTGTTCAGGCAAACCTGTGGTAAGCAATAGTATAATCGAACCGGCCATGTTTAACATTTTCAGTGTGCGCTTGCATCCCCTGTAGATTTCTCACTTTTTAGTTTTTTTCCCCCCATTTTCTTTATAAAAAGTATAATTCTGATTGCAAAAACAGTCTAGTCCACAAATAAAATGTACAGCCTCAAAGCTCCAATAGGGGTTCGGCTAGAAAAGATAATAGCCCCTTTCACGCATACTTTCTGTACTGGTAAATTACTGGTAAATTAGTTTAGAGATCATGTGTCAACAGGATTTTTTTTTTTTTAAATACCGGTAAATAAGTTCTAGCAGTGTTTTGGATACTATTGTGTGGCGTTTTGTGTTTTTAAGATCAAAACATCAGTTTTTTTTTCGGAATTCAGTCTTTTTTGTTTCTGCCATGGAATAAAAAAAAAAAGTAATTGCAACTTTTTATCTCACAATGCTGGCTTTTTTCCTCGCAATTGCGAGTTTATACCTCACAATTTGGACTTTTCTTCTCAGAATTGCGTAATGTTCACTAACTGTAAATTTGCAATTGCAAGAAAAAAGTCCAAATTGTGCAATAAAAAGTTGCAATTACCCATTTTATTTTTATATTTGGTGGAGGAAACGGGTTTCCATAATCATCCCCTTACTCCTGTCACTCAGAAGACAAAAAATGTTATCAAATTCAAAACGCATATGAGCTAATGAAGAAAAAGTATTGCATCCTTTCCAATGACTGACATCACAGAGTTTACCGGTATTTTGGTACTGATGCATGAATGGTCTCTTAGCAGTACAAAGCCAAAGCGTACTGGAAAAGTCATTCTGGTCATTTTTATGGCAATTTACTGGGATTACCAGTGAAAGGGGCTAAAGTTACACCTCATTTCTGAGTCGACAGCAGATGATGCCGAAGGCCAGAGATGATCAGTGTTTACGAGCCGCTCTCGCGTCTCATACAGCGTTCTCTAATTAGAGAAACGTAAAATAAAGCAGAGATGCACACCCATCCCCCTCGCCCCTCTCTGGGGCCCTTGTGGGACAGTCCCCGCGGGGCCCTGGCTAACATATCAGCCCTATTTCTGACGCCCCGGGGCGTTCAGAGCATGCATGTTAAAGGGGCGCTGTGTGGGAATGCCAAGGCACCTCATCGTGACATGCAGCAAGAGTGATCTGCTTCCTTATAAGTGCTCACACAATCCCACAGCATGAGAAAAACAGAAAGAAAATAAAGTCAAAGATAAAAAAATAAAGACTTGTTATGCTTGTGTCGGCTCAGACAGAACTAAAAATAACAAGCGTAACTTCATGCATCCTTTTAAACCATCTAGGTAGCTCTTTGAGGTAATAAAAAACATAATTTCACTATAAAAAGCTGAGGAGGACTTCCATCATCCATCCTAGAGTCTGTTTGATTCTTGGCAAGCACCTGATTACAGAAAGGAAGGCTGGGAGAGCCTCCACATCCATAACCAATAATATATATAAATAAAAGAAGTAAGCAGCCACGGATAGCATATTCAGAGATCCTAATAAAAAGCTGACCTATCCAAATATACACATAAAAAAAGAAGTAGTACTATTTTGGTGATATTCTTGCAGTTCCTTGTATGTTTGTGTGACAGTTTTCAGATCTCTCGGGGAGATCAGTGCAAATGAAGAATTATTGCAAAAGTCTGCTCATATTCGCGGGAGGAAGTGGGTGACCGTCATGGCGGTGGTGGCCTTGTTGCCTCGCTTCACTCGGCCGTGTTTGTTGAGAGCGACATAGAATCCCTTGTAAACGGAGGACTCGTAGGCATTGTAGTTATTTGGCAGCAGGGTCTCCTTGAACTTGCATTCGTCTTTAAAGGTAGCCTGAAAGACGGAGAAGAGAAGGAATGTGAATGCCAGCATTCAGTCAGAGGCACCAGTGTTATTTTAGTATCACTGTGATACTAATTCTTCATAATAGTTTTTATCATTTCAATTTTAGTTATTTATTAATTTATGTAGTCATTTTGTTGGGTGTTTTTGTCATTTTTATTAGTTTAAGTTTTTTTTATACGTCTATATAGTTTTTTTAATTCATTTTAAGTTTGAGTTATTTTAGTATGTCAAGGTAAACTAAATGAAAATGTGAAATTTTGTGAGGTTTTAATATCATTGAGAAACTATTTTAGTTTATATATATTATATATGTATTTTTTGTTGTGTGTTTTTATCATGTTAGTTATTGTTTTTTAATATGTCTATATAGTTTTTCATTAATATGTATAAGCTTTAATTGTTTTAGTACATCAAGTTCAGTTAAATGACAACTGGAAAATTTTTGTTATTTTAGTATCATTGAGATATTACTATAGTTTTTTATATATATTGAATGAGTTTTTATTTTAGTATTTTCCATTTCATGTTAAATTTGGTTAAAGTTTTAGTCATTTTGTTTTGTGCTTTTGTCATTTTTACAAGTTATAGATTTTTTTAATATGCCTATATAGTTTTAATTATACCTATATTACATATAATTTCAGTTTTAGTTATTTTAGTACATTAAGTTAAACTAAATGAAAATGAGAAATTTTGCTTTGGCAACTGCTGAAATAAAAAGTTTATTTTATTTAAAGTAACGTGTGTGTGTGTGTGTGTGTGTGTGTGTGTGTGGTTTTAATTTGAGTTAGATAATAGAGTTAGTTAGGTAATAGAGTTTTAGTTTTAGTGAGATAATAACCCTGCAATGCACAATAATTTTGCATCCATGACTATTAGTGCTTTCCAATTTCAATGAGTCAAACATCTGAGCAAATAAATGAGGCAACAGCAACAGCAAGCAGTAAGCAACTCATAAACAACAGCACTGTTTTGCACATGACTCTGAATGCAAATACATCTAACCTCTTGAACGGACCAGTTTCTCAGCCTGATTTCCCATAACAGACAACATACTGAACAAACTTGCAAAGAAACTTTCAGCTGAGCCTGGTTCCACAAGAAACCCATTAACCTGAAGCATTAACCTGATAATCCCTGAGCTAAACAGGCCTTTTAATTAAAAACCACTTTAATGATGACTGCAAGACCAGCCTGTGGCGTCCGTTTTATCTCTGCTCATCCAGAGGATGCTCTAGTAACGCTCTGCAGTTTTTGGATAGCGCTGTCATGCGCTCATGGGCCCCTAAGGACCAGTGTTGCACTGCGCTTGTCACACCTATGCCAAACTTCAGCCAAGTGTATCATTTACCCTTCAAACCTGCAGACACACTTTACATTAAACACATTACATGTAAATAACAAACTACATAATAACTACTACTGCAATTAACTGTTTAAATCAATGTGTAAATACAAGCTGCTCTACAAAATATTTCAATTTATGCACACACATTTCATTACACATTCAGGTTCATTTGTGACATTTTTCGCAGTCATCTCCCAATTTAACGGGATTCTCCCCAATATAACACAGTATATAAGATAAAGTGTAAAGCGAGATGAGAACTGCAACTAAGCACTGCATGTGCAATACCTAATGACCTACAACTAATACCAGCTAATATAAAAGAATGAGGCGTTAGTTTATAAGCTTAATGCAGGCAATTGTTATAAACCTTTTACTCGTGCTTGCGAGGCGCTTTGGCGCTGTGCCTGGATCTAGTGCACCGTTTAATAATAATTTGCAAAAGCCGTGCAGCTGTGGCAAACTTCCTGGTTCAACACATTATATTTATAAGGCATGAACGAATGCAGCACACGCCGTAAACACTAATATTAGTCGCGCGACCCCCTCACGTGCGAAATGCATGGGTCATGAATAAGTTGAAAACGCACAAAGGAAGCATCACCTGTCATCACGCACTCGATTTTCTGGGATGCAAAGCCTAGTTGCATTGGCAGGCAGAAAGAAAGGCGTCACGGTTGCGCACACCTACCGTTCCGTACAGCCTTCCTCTGTTATTCATTGCGACAAACAGCTTGCTTTTCACACCGTACAGGCTAACCACTCCTCTGGTCACAGTGGAGATCTCTATGAGACCTGCTCAAACAGAACAAGCATGTTACACACAGTAGCGACTCCGCGGGACTCAGAACAAGAAGGCATGCGGTGGGTGGAACCTCTGCAGGTGCCCATTGTGGATGCGCAAACGGCCTCTCTCGCGCCACTAGGCTACAACATTATTGCCGAAAGACGAACATCCCTCACACTTGGAGAGTCGTGCATGTTCTAAGCGCTTCTGGGCCGCACAAGGAGCCGGTGTAAAAATAAGTTGGCATCTATATCCGTCCCAGCATTCATGTCGTGTTTTAGCCCTGCGCAGATATTTAGCACTAAGGGATACTGTGTATGTGTGTGTGTGTGTGTGTGTGTTTTAATAGATTTGTCTTTGCCTCCAAAGACGAGTGTCGCTTCTAAAGTATAAAGAGCTCTGCGCAATTAAGTACTGCATTATTCCGTGAACTCACTGTACTGGTTCTCATTATGTACACCGTTTATCTTGCCGTCTGGGAGGACCTGAAGATGAAACCCGATGCCTACATTGCAGTACAGCCTCCGCACTCTTTTGATGCCCAGCAAATAGTCATTCTCCCAGTTCGCCTCTGGTCTCTCTCCAGAGATCCCCAGCACGGAGCGGGAGAAGAGGCTCTCCCATCGCTTCTCCAGTAAAGTTGTCCTATTAGTCCTACTCGGAAGCGGACTGGAGGACACAATCCCAACTAGGAGCAATCCCAAGAGCAGAACGGCAGTCCTTGGCCAGTGTTGCGCGTTGGCCTCGCAGGACATACTGATGAGGAGCCTTTGCGCAGTGGCCATCGGGTTTACCTTCGGGGCACGTGGTCAAAATTAATGGCACTAAAAATACCCCTCTTCTAGTTTTTCTTCCCTCGGCATGGTGGTGCAGGCTTAATTTAGCGAGGCAGGTCAGGACTTCGGGCATGCGACGGTGGCCCGAGATGAGAGCGGCGGAAGAACGGGGAGAGAGCGCGGAGACACGACTTGAGGTGGAGAAGGTGGTGATGACCATGTTTTGCAGCTCCGAAGCCTCGGGTCGTGGAGAATGCCACTCACCAAAATCCCTATCTCACCTCAGAAGCCACCCTCATCCTTACATGACATCATATTAGGGGAGGGGGGAGGAGAGAGAGTGAGAGAGAAAGTTGCGAGCGGCGAGGAAGAACTGGCCGGACTGATGATGATGGGTCGCTGCTGTCACTCCACGTGTGAAATGGGGGTCGCATGCTGAGCCTTATTGGACGGCTTGCGCGCGATCATGGGATGCGATGGGCACTCTGGCAGCGCCCAAATCGGGACGGTGGTCATATGTCTGACAGCCCTGCTTCCTTATTTAGAAGGATGGTGTAAAAACAGTCCACTTGTCACCGGAGAGCAATGGCACCCCTGTCTGTCATCCCAAGCAGTTTGTGCGTGAAGTTTACACAACGACCTGATTCCACAATATTACGCTCCCACGATGCGTGTCGATCGTAACGTTCCCCGTCTCGTGCATCGCGCAGCCTGAGATTTTTATCTTCCGGGAGGCTGCCTGCCTCTCTGGATCTCGCGGCGGTGATGCTGAGCAAAACGCACCTTCAAGAATGCTCGGACCGCGCGCAATGTCCGGACGTCAGCAGATGCTGCGCGTCGTTACGCGGATCTCCAGGTGCGCGTAGAGTACAGCGAAGCCGGATTGTAGTAACGCTTGGGGAGGCGCTGTTGTTGGCAGCGTGTTAAAGCGCCAATCACGTTATTTCAGCAGTTCCCTGGCTCCTCTGGAATATGGAGCAAAAATCTATTATTAATTATAAGTCAACACATTTCAGGACTGTGAAATATGACACCCACATAATTCAGTCTTGCTTATCATAGAACAGGGAAAAAATTACTATACCATCTTTATACTTTTACGATAATTTTACTTACTTTACAAATAAATCAAAATAAAACAAATCAAATACAAATAAATTAACTTAATTTTAATTCATAAAATTTTTATTTATATTACATTTCATTACATTTTTATTTAGTTATAATTAAAATAGATTAATTTAATTTATTCTTTTTACATTTTAATTGAAAAAAATACTTAATACTGTATATACTATACTGTACTGTACTGTATGATATAGCCTACTGTATATACTGGATGATATATTATATCATAGGTAAATATATATTATGTATGTAAATTGGATATTAGTTATATATATTAAAGCAGTTTATGTCATTTAGGCAATGATTTTAAAATCACATTATGACTGCTTCTAAATCTCTAATAAAACCACACTGGGGGAAAAAATCATTAATTCTATACAGCACAATACAATGCAGTGCAAAATTCAACATACAGGTAAAACACCTGTAAAAATCAATACGGAATTGTCTTAGAGTGCAATCATATATAATGGGACAATATAAATTCAAAAACTAGACCTTATAGAACACTTCACTTGACCTTAACATTAACAATTGACAGCTGTCATTCAGGTTAACTAAAGAACTGCAGCGTGTAGCAATAAAATTAAAAGTCATGACTTTTGTAGCTGAGTAGTCATCAGCTGTCTTTAAAATGCTTACAGCTCTTGCTAAACAGTGACAGTCTAATTAGCAAAGAAATCTCAAATCAGTAGCAAAGTTGCTGAACCCTTCTGACTCTTTAGCACCAACTCAAGCAGCATTATGACGTCATGCAAGGATGTTTTAACACATAGTGTATGAAAAAAGTAGGACACTTTTAATGATGTTGTTTTAATTGCTCATATAAATCCGGTTGCACACATTAAAGCTGATGCACAAAACAGTGAATCCACCCAGTGGCATAATTCACACGATTTCCACACATCTATTCTGATAATGCTGCAAAACTAAGATCAAAGCAGACATTTCAGCATTCAGCTGTCTCTGCATCTCAAGTTCAGACAGATTACGGCACACCCAAACATCTGCTGCACATCACTTCAGTTTACCTGAGATAGGATTCAACAGCCTGTGACTCGCTCAATCCTCTCTCTGAGGAAAAGCAGAAGCTTTGATTAATAAATTAAACAGCTTCTAATGGCATCTGTGAATGTATTACATGTTCAGAACTGATTTTTGAGGTTAGAGGCAGAACATTTAGCACGTTAATAGTTTTGAAGGATATCGTCATTCCATGGGGCTTTGTGCGAGGCAGGGTTGTCACAAACCACGTAACTGGATCCATTGCGGTTTCAGACTCTTTCAATTAGGTTTTTATTAACGTGGGTTTAGGCAGTACAGAAACGACAGCTGAGGAGAGCCGCTGAAATCCAGGAGAGAATTACTCACACATGACATCAGGAGCATCAGTGGACGTTTAACATTTAACACAGCGCACAAATGGCATTCTATACAGGAGAGCAGCTGCGCGGCGGTACCCATCCACATCCAACTGAAGAAAACCCTTCAGCATATGCTCTATTTTAACTTGCATTCATCCAGCCGTTCATTAAAAACAAGCTGTGTGCTCAAGCACTAGAACAATCTGCATGATGGCACTTTGGGGGAAATAAAGCTGGCAGTCCGGGTGTAAAAGTGTCCAGTGGAATGGTAGAGATGGATATGAGTCAGACCCTGTGATCTTGCTGACACAGCTGATCAATAATTCAACACGGAAAAGTGGCACGACAGCCTTCAGTTCACATTTTAGTTTTCTTAAAAAGCACAAAAAACAGAACTGGGCTGTGAAACAATGAATTCTATTACAAATGGTTGACTGGAGAAATGTTTGTAAATATTAATTGACAAATCACTTCTTATATAAAATTGGCAGCTACAATCAATCAATCAATCAATCAATCTTAAAGGTTATGTAATTAAAATGAATATAAAATAAAATGCATAATAAAAGTAAATATTTTATGTGTGTTTTATTTAATCCTTAAAAAATGTATTACGGTTAAATCAGCACTACTGTTTTCAAAATGAGCAGCAAATTAGCATATTACAATGATTTCTGAAGGATCATGTGACACTGAATACTGGAATTTTCATGATGCTGAAAATGTTTTGATCACAGGAATAAATTGCATTTTTAAATATATTTAAATAGAAAATATTTATTTTAAATTGTAATAATATTTCATTATATAAAATATATATATATATCAATGTAAAGTGCTTTCTGCAGTGGTGAAGTTCCTGTTGTGGCAGGAATTTTGTGTGCCAGGCTGAGCTGCCAGAACAGCACTAAAAGCACAGTGTGTTCATGAGCTGACAAGAACTCAAGAGAGAACATCTGACCCCTGCCGAAAGAGAGCAGAACTCTGCGCACACTATTAGCACAGCTGAAACTCACAGCACAATGACTCAGGTAAAATTTCTGTCCACCTTAAAAACAAAGGTCACTTTACTTTTGCTGATTGAGTTCTGAATCTGGGGATTTAAGCTTCTTGTGCTTTTGTTTCTCTGTTTGAGAACAGCCTGATGCTGTCTGCTTGCTGAAAAGTGCAATTAAATCTCACCTCTCAACACTCTTTATATGAGTCACTGTTTCTCAGCGTGACATCAGGCGTTGAGTACGGATCATCCTCATATGCACTCTGATCTAGTCAGACGATATTCTGTGTTATACATTTATAAAGAATCTACTACAAAAAGCACAACTGCCATCATCTTAACCAGAACTGCTGCTACTCGGTTCACAGATCCTGCCAGAATAACTTTTTGGCACAGAAAAGTATCATTACATCACTTGCTCCTCTGCAGTGAATGGGTGCCGTCAGAATGAGAGTCCAAACAGCTGATAAAAGCATCACAAGTAATCCACACCACTCCATTCTATCAATTAACATCTTCTGGAGTGAACACTGCATGTTTGTCATTAAGGCATCATTAAGGCATTCTTTCTCAAACAGTCAAACTAGTCAGATGTCACTGTAACAACTTATAATTAAGAGATATTCTGTCTTATAAATTGACAAAAAAGCTCAACTGCCGTCATGTGTTCCCAGACCCTGCCAGAGTAACTTGTTTGCACAGAGATGGGCTGCACTAAAGTGACCGCTTTTGGAGGATTCCGGCCTGACGAGCAAAGACGGGAAAGCAGAATGACGTCAGCGGAGGATTTCTGCTGAGTCAGCAAGACACGACCCCAGCGGTCTCCCAGCATTCCCTTGAACTCTACACCAGCACCGGCTCCCTCTGCCCAGCCCTGGAATGAACGGCATTCTGTTTGACATCCTTGCACCACTTTACACATTCTCACTCCCTACAGACGAGAATGGCGTTGCCGACTCTGATGCGGGCGTAAGGTGGGTGTATCTGCTTTCCATTCTGTCATTTCAGCAATGGAGGAAGCAACTGCACCACAGGACAAGTGTTCGGGGCTTTGGTGGGCAGATGAGTGGATCGGGGCACACACACACACACACAAACACAAATGCAGTGACTCATCCACTGTGCCAATATAGGCACTGCAGCAGCAATCATTTACACAATAAATATCTCATTACAGAGACAGTAACTGGAATGCATTCATTAATCATATTTAAAGCCAACAGAGAGGCAACACGATGTTCCTGTAAAGAAACAACTCTCTCTAGAAGAGTTTTCAGTGTGAAGTACACAGTAGTATATTCCCTACAGCCATGAGCAGGTCACAGTGACTCTGGATGGAGAAACAGACTGTGTTATAAAAGCAACAGTTGAATTAGTTCATATTTCTAAAAGTCATTTCTTTGTCTATATTGTGTTTGAAATTAGTTTTAAAGACAAATATAGGTTTTCTTTTGGGGCTACTAAAATGTCAATGACAGAATTTGTCTGCAGTCTCATTCATAAGTCCTGAGAGAAGATTCTCTTTACAAAGTCAAAGTGAAGAGGGTCATTGCTATTATAAAGTACATTTAATGTCTAATTAATCAAATATTTACATAAAACCTATGACATTAAATGTATGCTAACTTATTGATTTAAAACTTTTACTCCTATGTTCACTTAACTGTGCTATTATCAAAGAAAACTCTTATATGAATATTTATTTTAAAATATTAATATAACCATTTCTTTAATAATATCACAATTACTTGAATATAGGAGTGCATTTTTTATTAAATAATTAATCACATCCTCCTCCAGGAAACAATGTTTTTTTAGTGGAAAAACAAAAGCACAAACATCAAACATTAGCAATGGATTTTCTGATTTCTGAGATGGTTTTAGTTGGTTTGTTTCACTCTAAAGCAGAAGTGCCCAAACATTTTAATACAAATGCCCCAAAATGAAACTTGCTAGAGGACAGTGGGCCAAAAGTCCAACTATGCTATATTAAAATGCATTAATAATAATAATAATTAATTACATTTATATAGCGCTTTTCTAGGCACTCAAAGCGCTTTACATTGTCAGGGGGTATCTCCTCATCCACCACCAGTTGGATTTATAATAATCCAACCATTAAGATTAATAATAATAACCACCACCATTAAGATTAATAATAATAATAAAGTTCAACTATGTCATATTAAAATGCATTAAATGTAAAGAAAAATTAACATAAAAATAAAATTAAATAAAAAATAATTCTAAAAGTATATATATATAAATAAAAATATAATTTATTTCATCATTTTAAATTATTATTTAATCAAAATTAAATGTATTATTTTCAATATTTAAAAAAAAAAAAAAAAAGATAGGGCCAGTTTTGTCCCTCGGGTCCTGTTTTGAGTATCTCTGCTCTAAAATACTCTATCAAGTTCAC